TATTTATTAGACTCGGCTAGCATTTTCACAGCCGAGCTGTAGGCAGTTCTCATGGTTGCTATATGTATTGCATCCCTGCCTACCTCAATATTCGTAGTTTCAGAATCCTTCAGTGCTTGTCAGGCTATCCAAAAATTTTATTCTCATTTTTTCGTTATTCGTATACAACTTTAGTTGCCCTGCATTTCTTATAAAAACACAGGCATCGTTTTCTTCTGTATCCCTGGACATGTGGATGTTGATCCATAACAAATTGTATTTATCAAACTTTGTTTGAGCTTCTGGTATTCTTATCATCGCTGTTATGTTTGGAAGACTACTCTCTTCCCGCCTTAGTATCAGACACACATCCCAATCATGGGTATCTCATGGAGAAGCACTCAGCGCCGCTCTGTGATAATCTTCAAAGTTCCGTTGTCAGTTCACCATTTCTTAAAAGATTGTCTTGTCTATCAGCGGGCACGCAGAATTTACCTCTGGCATCGTCACCACTAACGCATTATTTTATCTGCCCTCCTTGCTGACAGCACCACCTGTGACGCAGACTCCATCTTTGACTTTTTTGTCACACTGCTTTATTACACCAACTTTGATTATATTTTCTCTTCAGTACTCCTCACTACCCTGACTGACTGGGACTCTTGCATGCTCCTTACCCTTGCTGGTCTCTGATCTTTACAAATTTCATGTTCAGAACATCCCTCCCTGTAAGGCTATATGATTCTTGTGAGTTTAGGGCTTAGTCTTAATTGTAATAATAATAATTTTAATTATTAATCTTATTAGCATTAATTTTATCATTATATATTCATGGTAAAACTCTTAACCTGCGCCCAAGGATTGGAGGTAATCACATTCGATCCAAGAAAGGAAGGGTAGCCAAACCATACCACGGGTGGGGATTGAATTCGCGGTTGGAGAGTCAAAACTCCAGACCGACGCTTTAGCCACTGGTCTGGAGTTTCACGATTCTCTAACCACGAGTTCAATCCCCACCCGTCGTATGGTTTGCAATCGTGTCATTACGATTTCGTGAGTAGTTAAAGGTAGCCAAAATTCCTCAGATCAAGACCCTACACCGATACCAATACTTCCCCACCCTCCACTCCCGTGAAGGGAACAGTCTTTGATAATATCATTTTTGAACAATCGATCAATAATATCAGTGATAATTCTATTGTTAAGCAGCCATAATATAATATTTTTAAAGGTGAGGTAAAGCAATGGAAAATTCACACATGTGCTTTAAATTAATATAAAAATTTTCACTTAAATCACAGCTAGCAGTGATAATGAGTCAGAAATAACTTAAGAAACGTGGAAACAAAATTACCTGTTTTGTATATCACTCCATCATGTTCACCAAGACAGACGTGGCTGAACGAGCTTTAGTTGGGACAGCTATTGGCTCCGTGTAGAGCTTTATCAAGTCATAATTTATTGAAGCTTTACACACAGCGAAACGTTGTGCAAGTTACAGGTGGTTCTGCAACTTGTTCTTGTTTACTTGCTTGCCAGTAATACATTATATTATCCATCAAATTCACTGCAAAATCAAACTTAACTTTAATTAAGCTTAATTAAGCTTTAGAGTAGTTAAAAAAATTAGAAAGACTTTTCCAAGTTTTTATAATTCTTTAACCTATGTTTGCATATATTGTTCCGGCAGTATAAAAATTGGGGATCTACAAATTTGCTGAAGCTCATAGTATCATGCATCTCAACTGAGGTTACTTGATGCCAGTGAGGGGCTCTTGATTTAAAATAATGGATCTAGCATCCAATGGATTTATTTCGATTGCTTCCCATTCCTCCAGGAGCCGTATGACCATTACAGGTTTAGTGCTCCCCATATAAGTATAACGTTTGCAGCTGGCTTCTTCAGTCGAATAATGCAGGTGACTATTATACTAAGGGCAGATGAAGAGATTTTGAAGTGTTCAGTCTCTCAGCCTTGATAGTTGTTCAATTCCAGAGCTTCGATCACTCTGAAAGTAGAAACTATATAGAAAGCAATATATACTGGACCATAATGAGAGTGCAGCTAATGGAAATTGTGTCATCGGAGGTGGGGCCCTGTAGCAAGCAATGTTAGGTAGATTCTTCTCAAATTTAACCTTTCTCACACATTACAATATGTCACCAAGCAATAAAGCTACCACTGTTACTGTGTCGTTCAAGTTACATTATATGAATAGTAATCAGTACGGACAAGGAGATGAATAAGACAGTCACATGTGCAACACTGATATCTTTATTTCTGAAATATTTAGCAAAGATATCTAAATCTAGCAAAGTGATTCAACTACTTTGCGGTATTTTGTACCAATAATTTGATAGGTAAATGCTAGCCCATACACACCTCTACTCGGCCAGTATTGAATCCTAGTCTTTCGATTGTGAGCTCAAGGTATTACCACCGAGGTAAGAGGCTCATCCGAGGCGCCGAGAAGAAAAACGACGAACTCGCCAAATGTCACTTTTGAAAAGATCGCCTACAGACGTTCACAGCATATTTGCAATAACATTTCTGTAACCAACCATGCAATTGTTGGTTACAGAGATGTTATTGCAAGATGTTAATTTACCAGTCTTTTCAAAGACAGGTGAATTTTTTGTTTTTGCTTAGAAAATTTAGTTTTCGCTATGCGCTTTTTTCTTACATGTTAGATCGTGGGTTTTCCTCTCAGCGCGCATTTGTTGGCCATAGTCAACTCTGAGAAGACTACGTAACTTGGCAGATTTCTACGTTAAAATATTATATAGTCCTGCAGCGAAGGTTTGGAAGTTAAAGGGAACCCAGTGCTTAACCAGAGTTGGAAGTGGAACCGTGATTTATCAGTCCGCTATATAGGAGAAATATCAATCATAACTGCATACTGAATATTAATCATATTTATTCCACTGGTTGTAATCATGACTGGCCTCAGGAGATATCATTTAACCAGCAAATTCATAAAAACGAACATCAAATGGTTAACAAATTTGTTATATTTAATGCTAAATTGTTGAAGGCAATATTGGCACGGTCAAGAGATGCGATGATGTCTACTAATTAGGTAATTAAGCTTTCTCCAATTAGAGCAGTGTCCTCCGAATTGCCTTTTATTCATTTCTTTCCAAGCTAACACTTTACGTGAATTAAATGTAATTGTTATTTTCGGATATATTTGAATATCTTAATATATATTAACTAATATTCAAATATAATTAACCAACAGTAACGAATTAAAATACTGAGGCTTTAATCTGGTAGCGCAGGATGATATTATTATTATATAATTTCATTATTTCCTCGCACGCTAAAAAAAATGTTGGATAATGGGGTGAGTTAAGATACTGAGGGGATAAGAATCTGGCGCACAACACTGAAGGGTAAATGGTCCACATAATATACTATCTACATTCAATTTACAACACATACAACTGAACACCAGTCAAGATTGAGGGACCGGTCACCTTCAAATTACCTCTCCACATTCACTGTCTCGGTAAATATTCTCTGTATTGGCTTGAAAAAGTGGTACGCGATACATCTCATCAACACAAGATGGTATTTTATATCATTAACGTAATGATGAAAAAGTTATAGTGGAAGTTCGCTTCTAAGGTGGGACATAGGCATCAGGAGGTTGAAGATGTTGACAGTGAATTCTGAATGTTCTCTGATTGGTAGGATGGTCTATTTATTTATAGTGAATTGCTATATACTTAACAGTGTTCTCAGATAGGCGCTGGGCGTCTTTCCATATACATGTAGTACACGTGTGAGAAACACATGTGGCGGCTAGGAAACTAATAGCGGTTTAATGAACAACAATGTATTTATCCTCTACTTCAGACCAGCGCTACTGCCACGTTCGGGGAGTCTCTGATTCAGAGCTGGAAACCAGTCCAACAAGGAGACTCCTGTAGAAGATTGTGTCCTGTATTCATCTTTGCAAGCTGTAAGCACAGGGAATCGGAGTTATCTAGTGGTGGCAATACAGCCTAGATTATCTGGCGGTTTTGTTTGGGTACTGTGACGCTTATGACTTTTCAGGTATGAGTTGGCTGGCTGGCTCGATTACCCCCATTTGTGTAATCTTTTCATGCCTTTGGACTCATTCTAACCGGCAGGTGGCTCATGTCTTAGTTTTACCTCTCATTTTCTGTTGTGTGTATTTTCTTCCTAGTATTTATCATTCTGGCTTGTGTTGAAATCTTTGTATATTTGCAAATGCTGTACGTAGTGATTTAGTGAAGGATAACGACATATTAACCACACATTTCTGAATTTGTTTTGTTGTGTGATATTTGCTAGACTGTTATTGATAATTATAGCACAACTTAGGGTGTTAGTCGACTGGTGTGGGACGCATCCTGGGATAAAACTGACCTAATTTGCAGGAAATGTTCTGCATAACAAGCAGCTTTCTATATAATAGCATGTCAATGTCAGCTAGTCCTGTATACCTTGTACATGTACTTGAAATAAAGATATTTTTATTATTCTATATATTTTCTTTTAAGAACTACACGTATAAACAGAAATACTGCATAGTAATGGGCTCCTCTCTTAATAAGTCTTAGTTAATCTCAATTTATAACATACAGAGAGAGAGAGAGAGGGAAGAGGGGAAGGCCCGTCTACGAACGTAATCCCTCACCACTTTGCATTCTTGATATATGTCGCTGTTTTGTTAATTTTTCCAAAATAATTTTAACTTAACTTCACGAATTGGCTCAGTGAAGTTGAACCTTCAGTTCAGCTTTCTTTGGAGGAGGAGAAAGGCGACTCTGGCGTTTTCAGATGCTCGTCTAATACACGACAGACAATCTTACATTCAAACTTTCCGAAAGCGTCAGTAAAGATGATCTGATCCTCGCCTTATCATCCTATGTTCTTAGAATAAACAGAACAGTAATTATAGACATTTTTTTTACGTGCCCTTGGTATTTTCATCAACAAATTTCGTGCAGACGAACAAACTTGTATAGAAAATGCTTTCTCTGTAAGAATGTATCTCAAAGTATTCACTCAAAACTCCAAAGAAATAACTACCCTCAATCGCCAGCTGGTACTTCCTGGTAGACACGTCATCAATTATCACCCGTCTTCAGAAGCCAACATGAATATTAGTACTTGTACCAAACCACTAAAGAATTCTCCAAAATGCCTCTTAACAAAAACACAGGCACGGGTCAAGTCCTCCTCTTCCTATGTGGTTGACGTGTTCGTCTTTATGCAGGTGAATTAGCAAGAGATTTGAACACTAGGCTACGTGAACTCATTTATATACAGAATAGATAAAACACCCAACACATGTGTGATACTCAGCAACACACTCCCGATCATAAACAGAAATTTGGCGCGACTCATTTACCAAGAAAACGAGTAGTACAAATGGAGGTACCATACACCACCTCGACACCATATAGGAAAATAGAGGTGTACACTTTATCAAAACCACTTGCACATAACCTCTTTGGCCAAAATAAAGAACACAAATTGCTACCACCTGGCCTCTATATCCGTACCTCACCTTCCCTCAGCCTCACTTGGCTTGCACTTGACACTATGTTTTAACACTCTTGACTGTGTGTTACCTGCATCTGATAGGCGAAACGTCATAAAAATAAACGCTTTTCCTTTATGTGTTTCTCTGCTATTTGTTGGCTTTCAAACGTTATACCACATTCACTAATTGTGGAATATACAATATTTCCAAAACATTACATGTCCCTTTAATTTCCATATGCAATAAAATAAGTATTAATACCTATGGCATGTGAGTGCTATACATTATCTCGATGGCTGTAAGCAAAACAATAAGATTTTAGAAATAACAGAATTTCCTTATGGACTGTAACCAAAAATAATGATTATCTAACTAAATGGTTAATGACAACTAGTGAACATATAACGTATACAATGACAGAAGAATTTAAATAACAGAAGATTCAAGGAATATCGTTTCTCTCTTGGGCAGGATGAACCGATGAATTTAGAAGGTCGTCACTCCAGATGGATCCTGCCACGAGACATTTCTTGAGATCACGTCTTAGCTTCACCTGTCCCTGTAGTGTCTGGGAGTTATATTGCACTATTGGAATAGGCTTAGAAAGGCAGGCGAGTACACAATAGAACATATTTATTTGAAAATATCCTTTTAAACCACCTGTCGGTATCAATTACCAAGGTTTATACCACTATTGGACCCCTTCCAAGGACAGTTATCGGAAATTACCAAGTAGAATCGACCAAGCATAACAAAATACGAATACCTTCCCTCCCGATGAAGTTTTTCGTACGCTAGCGGCATTAGATCTCGAAATCAATGGCGCACAGGTGTCAGTTCACTATATCATTAACATTTCGTTAGAAGTTAATGGGTGTCCGTTTACGAACGTGATGAGCACCACGGCAACAGTTTTACCAAGTCATGTAGAAAGCAGACTACCAGCTAAATGTCCAGTCATGCTTCATTACGTATACTATAGTGTTCATAATTGTGTAAAACTTAATATTTTCCAAAACATTAGCAACAACACCAATAATTAAAATAATAATAAAAATGATAATTATTATCCTTACATCCATAACGAAGCGCTAAAGCAGCAGGGGGCCATACAGCGCCTTTTGGAATGGGAGGCTATCAGGTTCGATTAAGAGGGAATGTAGATCCAGTTCCTCGTATCGAGCCTTTCACCTTTGAAGAGTTGTAATAATAAAGAAATAATGATATCAATAAAACTTTAGTGACTACAAAATATATGAAGTATAAATAAAATAAAAAATGTTACAAGGGTGGTAAATATTGTTCATAAATAATTTAGAGAGTCGCATAAAAAATGTAGAATTTTATTTTGAAGAACTTGAGCAAGGTTTACATATATGTGATAAGATAGTTGCATTTTTTTTACACTTCTCCTGACAGTACAAAATACCGCCAGCACCACCGTCGTGCAGTCGAGATTGTATTGTATGTATTCTGAGAGGTGTATTTCTATCGACGTATATACACTGGGAGCTGAGATATTATATATATATATATATATATATATATATATATATATATATATATATATATATATATATATTATATATGCAAAACAACCACTGTGAAAGAACAATGAAATTCCAAGTGCTTTCGTGACTACTCACATTATCAAGGAACAATGATAATGTGAGTAGTTACGAAAGCGCTTGGAATTTCATTATTCTTTCCCAGTGGTTGTTTTGCATATTCTGAAATCACCTGTTTACTGTGTTCTTATTGCATATATATATATATATATATATATATATTATATATATATATATATATATATATATATATAATACATATATATATATATAATAGATTATATATATATATTTATATATATATATATATATATATATAAACACTGATCTCTGGCTGAAGGAGACTCGAACCTACGAACCTTAGGACAAGGTACGCAGTGCTTTACCAATCTACCCACACACGAAGGTCCAGTGTGGGTACCTTGTCCTAAGGTTCGTAGGTTCGAGTCTCCTTCAGCCAGAGATCAGTGTTTGTGTATATTTCGCATGCTCTCGCGAATTCCTTGCATATATATATATATATATATATATTATATATATATATATATATATATATATATATATATATATATATGTCGTGCCTAATAGGCAGAACTTGCGATCTTGGCTTAAATAGCAATGCTCATCTTGCCATATAGGACAAGCGAAAATTTGTGTATGCAATAATTTCGCCAAAATTATTCTGAACCTAACGAAAAAAATATATTTCACTGTGTTTGTTTAGTATTAAATTATTGTAAACAAATCTAAAATATATTTAGTTGGGTTAGGCTAAAATAAATTGTTCTTGTTATAATAAGGTTAGGTAAGTTTTCTAAGATTCTGTTGGAGCAAAATTAATTTTTTTTACATTAACATTAATGAAAAAAATATATCTTTAAACGTATAAGAGGAAATTTTAGAAAGGACTTAATTTTAAATGAGTTCTTGCTAATTGACCAGTTTTACATATTCGGCACGACATTATATTATATATATATATATATATATATTATATAATATATATATATATATATATATATATATATATTATATATATATATAATATATTATAAGGGAGGTACCACCTCTAGAACTGTAATAGGGACCCTCATCCTCAGAGAAAAGAATAAACTTGCTTCAGGGAAAACTCAAGGTTCTTCCTGAAGCTGTTTGAGAATTTTCTCTTACCACCCCCTATATTTTATATATATTTTATTTAAAGACAAAATACATTGACAAAACATTCACAAAAAATACGATAGAAAGTATAACAACATAGGTGACTCAGCGCTACATCTCGAATACTTCGTCCAGCTCCCCGGCGGTGGGACGCGTGCCCAGAATGCTGCAGGCATTTCCTCTCTGGATTGCAACACTGAGTCTCTGAAAGAGGAAGCTGGTCGCCCTGTGGTCCTTGGTTTCTATGATGAGCTTTTCACCCAGCTCTATTAGGAACTTGCCCCATGCTCCAAGGGTCTCCGACCCTATTGGGATGAAGTTATAGCAAGGGGGAAGGTCTTCATATTTGCGGATCTTCTGGGTCTCCCTGTGGCTGGCAGCTCCACCCACTTCCACTACGGAGTATATATATATATATATATATATATATATATATATATATTATATATATATATATATATATATATATATTAAAATACACACACTGAAGGGGCAGGGGTGTATAACTCTGAATGTATACAAAGAGTTTATAGTTTATTGTAAGCCTTCTTCTAGGGATTCAAGTGTTGTTGATTGGTGATTAGGTAAGTTAAGATTTGCCAGGAAACAAGACAAGCGTTTCCTGAGCCGGATGTTAGTTATATGATGACTCGCCACGAGACTTTTTGGTCGTGTGATTGAGGCCTTCCACTAGTTTACCCGTCCACCCCTTTAAAAAACTAAAGATTTTTAATTGAATTGGTGGTACATGGGTAAATCATAACGATGATGGCATACGTGTAGTCGATAATACTAAACCAGTCAACCAGTCGGCAGGCTTGGAAAAAATTGCAGGGACAAGAGCTATATCTGAGGACTGGTTTCTTTGTTGAGAACTCAATAAACTCAGCACCCATGCCCAACACTAGTGTTATTATATCTTACTATGAGTTATCCTAATTGGCCCTGAAATATCTCTTCACGTGTTATATTACTAGGTGTTATTTTCAGTTATCCTGAATGACATTGTGATATTCCACGTGTTATCCCATGTTACTAAGTGTTGTGTGCAGTTGTCTTGACTGATGTTTTGATATCGTGTACTCAATGAGTTGTGCTCCACAAATTGGTCACTTGTTATCACATATGGTTAGTTGTCTTTGGCTATCATAAGTAATCTTGAGATATGTAGTGAAATGCATATCAGAATTCTTCGCTCTAGTATGATAACATCAGTTCTCAGAGTATTTGTCATCTCCTGGGGAGAGGGAGGGAAGTGGGGTAGAAAGGAAGCAAAGGGTGAGAGGGACAGTTAGACGAATGAGGGAGAGAGGAGGGTGAGGGAGAGAGGAGGGTGAGGGAGAGTGGTAGGGTGCCGATAGTGAGATAGTGAAAAGAATGAGAGAGGTTAATAACGGGGAAGGAGAATGAATGGGAGGGGGGGGGGAGAGGGATAATGTTTGGAAGGGGGAAAAGAGAAAGGGAGGGTTATGGGGATGAAATTATTATTGGAGAGTCTTACACACTAGACTGGAGTCTTGTCTTACACAGAATATAACATTCCAGCAGGTACTGGTGTTTTTTTCACAGGATATAATTTCCAGTATAACTGGATGTTAGTACATATTTTCCATTGGATGCGACCCACAACAGTCGGCTAACAAACACTTATCTGTTTTTACTGCTAAGTAGGCAGAGGCAGCGGAGATTTAAACAAGAAAAACATGTAGATATGTATCTCTGAGGCAGGAAATCGAACCCGATATTTTGTGATTGAGTCTAATGCTCTCACCAGTGAGCTAAGTGGCACCCCGTGGTGAGAGGAATGAAGAAGAGAGGGAGGGTGATGATGAGGGGAAATAAGGGATGGAGAAAGTAGTGAGGGAGAGGAAAATGAGAGTGACTGAGATGTGTCAGGAAAGGAGAGTGAGGTGGGTGAGAGGGGAAGGAAAGAAGGAGGGTGGTGTGGAAGGGAGTGAGGAAGAAATATATATCAGGAAGGGATGTGTGAGGATGGAACTA